CACTGCTTTATCAACTGAGTTTTTTTCACTATTCTAAACCCTTCACGGTCATTTCTGCAATCTTCACAGCATCTTCATTTGTGTAGTGTACATAATTGTGTGCGCTGTATGCGGCTGTTCATCCCGGAGGTTTGTTCACACCAGCATCACCACAAACACAGGAGTAACGCGTTGTACTAGCCATTATAGTGGCTTCAACATCACTGAGCAATAGGAGTTTTCCAGCTCCATTCTAACCTTAGGGGACACATGACTATACAAATGTGAGATTAGACTTAATAATATATTGTAAAACTGTTAATTTTGCTTGATGTGATAACCATAGTGTGGTTATGTAAGATATTATCTCTATTCTTAATAAAAACACACAGAAGTATTTAGGGCTAAATGTTATAATACAATTACATGGACAGAAAAATGTGCACGTGGAGGGTATGTTTAGGTCAGAGAGCACACCAGCACGTAAATACAAATGTTAAAGCAAATGGAACAATGTTTTGATAATAGGTGAATCATGGTAAAGACCAGATGGGTGCTCTGTGCATTATTCTTATTCTTGCACCTTTTCTATAAGTTTTAAATTATTTCCAAAGAAATATTTTATTTTTTTAAAATATATTTTGTTGATTTTTTACAGAGAGGAAGGGAGAGGGATAGAGTTAGAAACATCGATGAGAGAGAAACATCGATCAGCTGCCTCGTGCACACGCCCTACTGGGTACGTGCCCTCAACCAAGGTACATGCCCTTGACCCGAATCGAACCTGGGACCCTTGCATCCGCAGGCCGACGCTCTATCCACTGAGCCAAACCAGTTAGGGCTCCAAAGAAATATTTTATAAGATCCATGTATCCATGATCTAGCTTAATAAATATAGCATCATAAATATAGTTGAAACTTAGGGGCACCGCCTTCAGCACTCTCCTAAGTCAGAATTCCGATAAACAGGGCAGGCGACCTTCTGCACACTTCCCTTTTCTCATAATGTCCTCCTTACAAACGTTCCAACCAAGTCTCATGCTTCCCCGCACCTACTCTTCCCAAAGATAAACACATCCTGAATTTGGTGTTGATTAGTCCCAAACATATCATATGTTGACTGTATGTTTCTAATTTATATATACCGAAACAATAATATGTCGTAGTGTTTCGTATGGTTTTAAACAATACATAAATGTTATACTGTATAATCATTTTTACACCTTACTTTTCTCACTCAATATTACACTTAGGAGGGTTATTCATGTTGATATATATGGCGCTTGCTCTCTTATTTTCACTGCTATCCAGGTATCCTAAAAGTCTTAATGATGTTTTACAATGTTATATTCACAAATATAAATGCTACAAACTTACCCAAAAAGTTTGTATCACTTGAAAGTTGTATTTACATTTCTTTAATAATCATTGAGTTTTATAAATTTTGAATAATAAATTGCTAGTTTTAATTTTTTTGTTTCAGTCAACATTTGCTATCTTCAATCAGAGAAGTATAGTTTCATAGCATGATTTTGGCACTATTCATTTTCACATTTACAGTGTGTCCACTTTTATTATTTCAAGTATTGTTTCAATGTATTATTTTATTCTTAAGTACATGTGAAAGACTTTCAGTAAATAATGGCATTAATAAGAATTACTGTAATGACTAAGTCATAAGGTATGTGCATCTTAACTTTATTTATATTCTTCTCAGCAATATGTATATAGTTCCTTTTCCTTATCCATCCTCAAAGAAACTTAGAATTATCAGGATTCAATTTCAGTTATTGTTACAGGTTTAAAGTTGTAACTCACGAATTTATTGGGTTGAATTTTTCTAATTACTAGAGGTGTTGGAGCATCTTTTCATATGTTTATCAGCCATTTCAGTTTCCTCTTCTGTAAATTGTAAGTTCATATTACATTTCACCCTTGAACAGCATGAGAGTTAGGGCCACTGACTGCCTGAGCAGTCGAAAATCCATGTATAACTTTTGACTCTCCCAAACTTAACTACTAAATAGTCTACTGTTGACCAGAAGCATTACTGATAACATGAACAATTGATTAACACATATTTTGTATGGTACATGCATTATATACTGTAGCCTTATAATAAAGTAAGCTAGAGGAAATAAAATGTTTAGAAAGTCATAAAGAAGAGAAAATATATATATATTTTTTTAAATATATTTATTGATTTTTTACAGAGAAGAAGGGAGAGGGATAGAGAGTTAGAAACATCGATGAGAGAGATCGATCAGCTGCCTCCTGCACGCCTCCCACTGGGGATGTGCCCGCAACCAAGGTACATGCCCTTGACCGGAATCGAACCTGGGACCCTTGAGTCCGCAGGCTGACGCTCTATCCACTGAGCCAAACCGGTTCGGCGAAGAGAAAATATATTTACAATACTTACTGAAAAAAAACCTGAGTATAAGTGGACCCACACAGTTCAAACCAATGTTGTTCAACTATATTCTTTTAGGTTGATTTTTTCCTGTTGATTTTAGTGGGGATTTAAAAATCATCTTTTGGGCACTTATCCTTTTACATTTATATACTTCTAGGCAATTTCTCTCAGTCTGAAACTTGTCTCCATTTTTTAAATGTCATTTTTGACAGAAATGTCTTATTTAAAATAATTTATCAATCCTTTCATTTAGGATTTGTGTATTTTACCCTTTCCTTATATAAATTTATAAAGATATTCTCTGAAATCTTTTAATGAAAGTTTTAACACCTTTTGATAGTGACTCATATCACTACTCAGGTGGTGAGTTTAGCAAAACGTTCTTGAGGGCCTGCCCTGTAGCAGGTGTTGTGCTTGGCAGGAGGGGTATATCAGTGTATAAGGCCGGAACTGTCTTTGAGGAGCTCACATTTTAATGAAAGCGACATCAGGCAGAAAGAAAATGGGTGAAAGTAGCAGATATATCAAACTGAAGGAAGTGTTCTGAGAGCTGGATCAGTTCAATATTGATCACACTGGTGTGGGAGGTGGCGACACAATTGGAAAATGGGGATGTAGGTCCATGAAGGCATTTTGACATAGAGCTCAGACTTTATCTTGTGGGTTAGTTGTTTTCAAACATTTTTAGCATCAGAATCCTAACTTCAAAGGAAATTAAAGTTAACAAATACAATAATTATATTAGCCATATTGTCATCTAATATGCCTTGATGATTTACTATGGTACTGTGCTGAGAACCAGGCATTATCCCATTCTTTTTTATAGCAATCTTATAGGATAGGTTTTAATATTATCTTCATTTTACCAACTGTGTCTCAGAGGGATTAATATATAAAACATGTTGGAGCAAAGTTTCTCTTACTAAATTGCTTCTGTGGAACAGAATGCTTTTGAAAATCATTACCCCAAAGCACGGGAAAATATTGAAGGGTTTGAGGGATGAAAGCAATTTAATCAGATTTATATTTTATGTCCATGATGCTAGAAACTGTCTGGAGGATAGATTTGAAATTAATAAGGACTGGACTAAAGAAACCAGTTATGAAACTCTTACATTAGTCCAAATGAGAAAAGATTAAAAAGCTAAACTCATAAGTTCAGATATATCATATGGGATAAATTGGAAATGAGAAAAGAATATGGCAGCCCTAGCTGGTTTGGCCCAGTGGATAGAGTTCTGCCCAAGGACTGAAGGGTCCTGGGTTCGATTCCAGTCAAGGGCACGTACTTCAGTTGCAGGCCCCTCCCTTGCGCCAGACCATGGTCAGGGCACGTGCAGGAGGCAACCAATCAATGTGTTTCTCTCATATCAATATTTCTCTCTGTCTTCCTCTCTCTTCCATTCGCTCTAAAACTAAATGGAAAAATGTCCTTGGGTGAGGATTTCTTTAAAAAAAGAAAAGAGTATGCCGAAACCGGTTTGGCTCAGTGGATGGAGCGTCGGCCTGCGGACTGAAGGGTCCCGGGTTCGATTCCGGTCAAGGGCGTGTGCCTGGGTTGCGGGCACATCCCCGGTGGGAGATGTGCAGGAGGCAGCTGATCGATGTTTCTCTCTCATCGATGTTTCTAGCTCTCTGTCTCTCTCCCTTCCTCTCTGTAAAAAATCAATAAAATATATTAAAAAAAAAAAAAAAGAAAAGAGTATAGCAAATAATAATGGGCCATGAAGAAATCTGCATGTGTCACATTGGTTAAGGGAAATACAGAAAGTATTTTACCTTGAGAAAACTAATGGGGTCTCTTAATTTAGTGGGTCCATGTAATTAAGGTTGAACAGATATTTAAAAAGATGATTCATAATAAAAGAGAAAATAAGAAATGATATACTATTTAACTTGAACTTGATAAGTATGCATGCCATATTTTCTAGAGTTGCCACTAAAAATATAATAAAGGAACCAGCTTATAAATTCCACACTGGTAAAGGGATAAAAGAAGATCCAAGATAAATAGAAATTATAAAGAAAGGGGGGAAAAAGAGGTAGAACAAATAAATATATAAGATACTATGTATATTTATATAGAAATAATCATAATAAGTGTAGGTTGACTAAATGGTCTGGTTAAAAGACAAAGATTGTCAGACTCGACTTTTAAAAAATTTCAACTATATGCTATTTACAAGAAGTAGAAGGTTAAAATAAAATATGGAAAAAGATATGCCAGGAAAATTTCAACAGCAAAGCTGGTGTGGTTATATTAACATTAGACAAATGCTCTTTAAAGAGGGAAAAAGTTATTAGAGCAATGGCAGTGTCTAAAATAGGAATTTAAATACAGACCTTGGAGATTTAGTTGAAAAGAAGGTAATAGTATGTTTCCAAACTATGTTCAATTAGTGTTAAACTGATTTGAAGAGTAAAGACAAAGTTTGGGAAAACAAATCCCATAAGTTGTATGGAATTTATAGTTTAACCAAATATTTTTCTTCAGAGATTTAAAAAATATTGGCTTTTTCATTCCATGTCATTCTAAGTCTGTGTTTGTTGGCAACACATATAAAATTCAGTGCATTTGGTAAACATTTACTCTTGTGTTTTTCAGGAATTCAAAATGTCCTCAGCCTCTTTTGTGCAGTCCTCACGGAAAATAAGGTTCTCTTCCATTCCTCAAGTTTCCAGAGACTCAATGATGCGTGCAGAGCCCTGGAGTCTTTAATGTTTCCTCTTAAATATAGGTGAGCTTTTTTACGTGTACTTTTATTATTCTCAAATTATGCATTAATTATTAACGATTAGTCAAAACGTCATGGCGCAATAGTTTGAACTATAAGGTTGTACTTTACAAAGTCATGATTCTGATTGAAATCTAGCCTAGAATTTGGAACTTTTGCAAGCCGTTCGTTACTGAGTGTTGATTAATTTAGTGAAAAATTAATTAATTTGAATAGTATTATCAGTAGCATTTATTTCTCTTTGAATATGGTTGGTGATAAAATTAAGTCAGTGCTGTGATTTTTTTTAATATTAAAGAATCATTAATTTTAGGGGTATATTGGTATTATCGTTCTATTAAAAAAAAGAACCCTTATCTTTTTTAGATCCCTACTAAAGTATTTGTATATAATGATAAAATATCTGGATTTGCTTCAAATAATACAGTAGGGAAGAGAACAAAAGTAGGTAGAAATATTGTGCATTAGTAATTGTCATATCCGGGTTGGATATATGAGGCTTTGTTTTATTTTCTTTCTGTTTTCTGAGGGGTATGTTAAAATTTTTCGATGATAAAAAGTAAAAAATAAAATAGTTTAAACAGTGATGCCTGATAGTGCTATAAGCAGAATATTTTATTCTAATATATTATTTTATTGATTTAATATTCATAACATCTAGGAAACTTAAGTTCATACAAACTAGAAAAAAAGTAGACTACAGATTTTATTTTAAAACTTTAAAAAAATTTACCTATGTGCTTTTCTTAACCCTTAGATAGCCTTACTTTTTGTACTTTACCACTCTTATTGACTGCAAAGTCAAGTATAGAAAAATGGAATTTGATTGTTTTATGTAGACAAATCACCAGTGTTGATGGGGAGGGCCCATCAGGGAGTCAGTATTACTCTCTGATGTTATATTTCCATGTAAGGAAAAATGCTTTGAAGCCAGATTAAACACCCAAAGAGACTGCTTGTCTAGGAGGGGTGAAGGATAAGGAAGCTGCCCTGGATTCCACTTATTTAGATCTTATTATAGCTGCTTGTATCTTTCACATGAAGATTTTTTTTAAGTCTGTCCTTTTGAAAATTAAATAGTAATAACCATGAAAATATTATTGATAATTTCAAAACATAGATAATCTTAAAAAAATTCATAGCATAAAGATGAAAGAAAAATGTTTATATTATGGAAAAACAAATATATCTCACATATATTTTCATTATTTCCAGTTACCCTTATATTCCCATCCTCCCAGCTCAGCTACTAGAAGTTCTAAGTTCACCAACACCATTCATTATTGGAGTACATTCCATCTTTAAAACTGATGTCCATGAACTTGTAAGTATTTAACTTTAAATTGCCAGTTGTTGAGGCCAGAGGTTTATCTTAATACCTTGAGTTTTATAACATTTCAACTTATTACTATTTTCAGCTCTATTGCATTCCCTATAGAAAAGATTGGCTGGAAGAAAGCATCATTAAAAAACCTAAACATACTAATTTTTCTATAGCAAATATGAGAGATTTACAAAATGAATTCATTAATATTTTCAAATGCCCTCTCCTGTGGCATATTAAGTTTATCTTCCTGTATTCTTCATCCTGTCTATAGGAAAGGAAGATAAAGTAATCTATATAGCATTCTATTTATACTTTTGTTATGAGTACTTTAATTTATTCATATTTTGAAATTAGGCCTGTATTAATGCTGAATGGTGGATAACTAAAAAGCAAAAATTATTTGTAAAAGAGTGAAGGATTTTAGTGGAATGCAGGTTCAGTATGAGCCCCACCAAATTATTCTATTTCTTGCCTTGGCCAGAATGGCTCAGTTGGTTGGAGCGTTATCCCATATACCAAAAGGTCAGGGCACGTAGGGGAGGCTGAAGATATATGTTTCTCGCATTGATGTGTTTTTTTTTCTCTCTTCCTTCCATTCCCTCTCTCTAAAATCAATAAAAAGTGTATCCTTGGGTGAGGAAAAAAAATTATTCTACTTCTCATGCCATGTGAATAGAAAGAAATACCAAAGAAGAAAAGTAATACTCCACATCAATGATTTTTAACCAGTGTGCTATAACGATTTTTAAAACATGCATTACCTGACTGCTACACGAAGGGATGATTCATGTCCCAGGCAGGACAGTGGGCTAGCCTAAGATTTCAATACACTGTTCATAATGGCATGCATTTAAAACTTACGAATTGTTTATTTCTGGAATTTTCCTTTTAATATTTTCAGACCATTTGACTGAAGGTAGCCTAGACCTCAGAAAGCACAACCACAGATAAGGGGGGACTACTGTAGTGTAGACAGAAGCTCAGAAGCCATGAACCCAGCGTTCTTTTACTATGGACAGTCAAGAGGCTCTTCCAGCCCTGGCCGGTGTGGCTCAGTGGTGGAGTGTCAGCCCGTGCACCAGATGGTCTCGGGTTCAATTCCTTATCAAGGGCACGTACCTGGATTGCCGGTCAATCCTAGGCCCCAGTGTGGGAGGCAACCAATTGATGTGTCTCTCTCACATCTATGATTCTCTCTCTTTCTCCCTCCCTCCCTTCCACTCTCTCTAGAAATCAATAGATAAAATATCCTTGGGTGAGGATTAACCAAAATAAAAAAAGGAAGCTCTTCCACACCTGGTTCTTCTCATTTTGAATTAGTGAAGATTAAATTAATTTGCTCAACAACAAATATATTGTATTAATTATATTAATTTTTATCTCTTTCAGTTAGATGTAATCATAGCAGATTTGGATGGAGGAACTATTAAAATTCCTGAATGTATTCACCTCTCTTCCCTCCCGGAACCACTTCTACATCAGACTCAAGCAGCTCTTTCTTTGGTATGCCATTTTTTAAATAGAATTTTTTTCTTGATTTAAATCTAAACTAAGATAATTATAATTAAATATAATGAGCAGTGCAATTACTTTTTAAAAAGGTCTTAAAACATGAATATAGTCTCATGGAGTATTTAGGAGTCTTTACTAAATATTATCTAAAGAATATACTTTGAATTCTAACTGAATATTTGTTGTACATTCATTCTTTCACTCAGCGTATTTACTTAGTACTGAATACTGTCGTAGGTATTGGAAACACACATGTGAAAACAAGACTAGACTCTGCCTTGAAGTCACTGATTCCCCTAACCCTCCATTAGAAGTCAGCACTTTTTCCTTCTCCTCCAACCTCCTAGTGACATCTCATTCCTCCATGATAGGTGTGCTACTTGCAAAACAGTGGGATGTTGTTTTGCCAATGTTTTCAAGTTACTACAGGAAGATGTTACTTATAGATAGATTAAATGTCCAGCATTCTGTGTAGTGAAGTTTTAAGAAATCTATGGCCTGGATGGTTCTCATTGAAATGAATTTAATTTTTTGTAGTTATTTTACCTTATTTGATTTGTAAAGCACAGTATTTTATTTTACTGACAACATTTTTAGATGCCCATTGGTGCATCATCAGAAAATTGAAACTTAGAAATTCTGCATTTTAAGCCATTACTAGAACTAAAGCCTTCATAATCCCCTCAATATTTCAGTTAATTAATTAATTTTTAATTATACTAAAAAACATAAAAATAAATGCTTGTTTAAAATTTTCAACTATATGGCCAAATAGCTCTGCGGTAGACTATTCCCTTCCCAGAGGTAACTACTATTTTATAGCTTAGTGTATATTCTTTCAGAACCTTGCATTTTCATTTATCTGTACATCAATGCATGTACATATATAGGCTTACATATGTGAATTTATCTAGAACTTGGGTTTTCATTAAATATTTTCTCTTGGAGATCATTTCGCAATAATATATGCAGAACTACCTCAGCTAAATACATTGTAGTTCATGGAAAAAATATATTGTAATTCATATTCTGACACTTTTTCATATGATGTTCCAAGTAGATTAAATAATAGGTTTTATTGACATTAAGATCTTCTGTATAACAAAACTTCTTTGCTTTAGATTCTACACCCAGATTTGGAAGTGGCAGATCATGCTTTCCCCCCTCCACGAACAGCTTTATCGCACTCAAAAATGCTGGTAAGAAGTTTAAGTTTTATGCTTTTAAAGAGAACTGTACTTTTATTTGTATGATTGTTAAAGAAGCTGAATTACATGGACAACCTAGTAAAAATGAGAGTTAGGTGGACAGCCTAGTAAACAGTGCACCAAATTAGAAATCAAGAGAATTGCTACTGACTCACCTCATGTACTGCTCAAAGAGGAGTCACAGGGTAGCACACTGACCAGTGGGGAGAAGGGCTAAAACTGTTGTCCTGAGGAAGCATAATAAGTAACAGACAAAAAATCAGAACCGAGGCTATAGCCTGGAAAATTGTGTCAAGCAGCAAATTAAAAAGGTCAGGCAAGGATAAAAAAAAGTGGGGAGAGGGAAACTTACAAAAAATTGAAACAGTATTGTTGATAATAGGAGAGAATCAAGTTTGAGAAGTGAGTAGATGAAAATAGTTCCAACTAGAAGCCATAAAAGGGTGAGTAGTAACAGAGATCCCTTTTTAATTTTGCTCAGTGCAACTCTTAGAGATGAGCTTTGTGGCCAATCAACGAGCTTCATAGAGCTAGACACCTTTGACAAGTTCCTTAAGCATTCTTGACTATTTCCTCATTAATTAAATAAGGGTTGACTAAATAAATGTGTAAGTTTCCTCCCAATTCTAAAACTATGATTTATATAAAAGCCTGAATTATTAAAACAGAGTTGAAGTCAGACCTTATTAATATGAGAATACATTTTTATAAGTTGGATAAATTTTGGAAGAATTTTTATAAGCTTTAAAAAGTCTTTTTGATTTTTTTCTTTGTATTTGTGATATTCTTTTGGTGGCTATAAAAAGCAAATGACTTGGGAAATATGCCCTTCTTTAGCATGGTGAAAGGGGAGACTGTGACTTGTGTTTTTTCTGATAGGAAAATTGAATGTACTAGAAGCAAGTTTTGTTTGGTTCAGTTTTAAAAAGAACTATTGAACAGCCTATGCTGCCAACAGTGGAACAGACTAGATGCCAATCACTCAGGATTGCCTCAAATGAGACTGACGTGTAGAAAGCACAGACATACAGATTTATTTAATAATCCCTCAACTTCTTTACAACTTTTGATTTTGTGATAATTCATTTTATTTTTTAAGAAACTCAATTACCTAACATGTTTCTTCTTATATTTTCAGGATAAAGAAGTACGTGCAGTTTTTCTTAGATTATTTGCACAACTTTTCCAAGGATATAGATCATGCCTACAGCTTATAAGAATTCATGCAGAACCAGTGATACATTTTCACAAGGTAAGGTACAGAACTATATGGAATCTGTCCAAAATGTAGACTCCAATTAGATAAAACAACTTGGTTGTCCTTTTCTGGCCATGGATTTTCCCCTTAATTTATCAAATGGGGTTATTTAAAATATCTATGTGGTTAGATGATGATTTTTTTCCTTTTTATTGAATTTATTGGGGTGATAATTCTTTGACGAGGTATAGTTTTTATCAAATGAATGCATTATTTACAGACAAAATTGGGCTAGTACAAAATAGAATCTATTCAGGTGCACAATTCTACAACACGTCATCTGTTCACTGTATTGATAATTTTTAATAATACTATGGAACTAATATGTTTTCATTCAGAGTGTAATGTTAACTTTAAATTGGTTTTCTCTTAAAATTGAGTGTTAATTTTTGATTTCTCCTCCTGCTTTACAGACAGATTCATTTTTATTCTTTTCAATACCTGTAGTATCTCAGGTATCAAAAACCTTTTTAAGAGAACTATAATTTATAATAACACATTTTTGCATGAAGACACTTATTCAAGCTTTATCTTTCTACTAGAGCCCCGGTACACGGATTCGTGGGTCCCTTAGCCTGGCCTGCGTCCTCTCGCAATCCAGGACCCCTGTGGGGATGTCAGAGAGCCAGTTTCAGCCCGATCCCCACAGGCCAGGCTGAGGAACCCCACCAATGCACAAATCCATGCACCAGGCCGGTTTCGGCCTGATCCCCACAGGCCAGGCTGAGGAACCCCACTGGTGCACGAATCTGTGCACTGGGCCTCTAGTATGCATATAAGATCTTTGGTTAATCTCTTCCCACCCTCCCCCCAGCAGCATCCTAACCCACAGCAAATTCTGCGAGGAATCAGGCTCCCTCCTCTCTGGGTCCGGGGTATGGGTGAAGCAGATTCGGGGCCAACAATGCCCCAGCAGCAACCTAACCCATGGCCAAATCCGCGAGGAATCGGGCTCCCTCCTCTACTGGTCAGATCGTCTGCCCCCTCATGGTCATTGCATGTCATAGCTACCGAGCTACCGGTCGAATGGTCAACAATAACTTAGGCTTTTATATATATAGATAGATTATATTTTATTTTCACCATCCATTCATTATTGAGTGATAAATTATTCATTTCACATTTTCTTTCTTTACAGACAGCTTTTTTGGGGCAGCGTGGTTTGGTTGAAAATGATTTCCTCACTAAAGTTCTCAATGGAATGGCGTTTGCAGGTTTTGTTTCAGAAAGAGGCCCTCCCTATAGATCCTGTGATCTCTTTGATGAGGTACAGTTTTTATCAAATGAATACATTATTTATAGACAAAATTAAGCTGGTACAAAGTAGAGAAGTAGTATTTTAAACTTTTAATCAAAATTATCACTATGTTATACATTAAATATCAAATAATCCAAATATTATTACTATTATGCTTATCAGATCTTGGTATTTAATATGTGGATTAGAACAATTAGAAAAAATACAACTATGGGATATCTCAGACTTACATAAAATCTTGAACAACTTAATTTTAAATTGTTGATTAAAATCTTTTTGAAAAAATTGACAGTGATTGTGTAAGTAGAACATTTATTTTTTAAGGCAATAACACAATTCCTTTATTGGTTTCATAGAGAAAAAGTCAAAGTTTTATGAGTAGATATGTGACTTTAAGCAGTTATATATTGTCCATCAGTGTCCTAGAGACATAATTTAGCTTAATAGCATTCTTACTGATATCCGTGATAGCTCCCTTGGGAGATATTAAATATATGAAAGACAGATTTAAGTCTTTATCAAGGAATTGGCCATAGAAAAGGAAAGTTAGAACAGATGCTATTTTGTGTTCATTGTGATTTCTCTTATTTTAATGCATCTTTCCATTTACCATTTAACTATTTTCATAGAAGCCCATTCTCGTGGATAGAATGAGGGAAGTTACTCCCATTCCAGTTTCTGAAAGAGCACTGTATCTGAACCAATAAATGTAAAGTTCCTTGAAGTCTGTAAAAGAAAACACTCCTAGCACCCAAGATCGTGGAGAATAGTAATAGTGGTCACATTTTGGAGTTGCTGGTTTTATTTTATGTAGAGAAGGTAGGATTCATGGTCTTAAAGATCCTTGGTTCAGAGAAGAATCTTTTGTTTTTATTACATAGAGATAATTAAGTAGTCACAGGTGAAATTGAAAAAAGAGGCACATGTTTTAATTCTGAGTATGGAGAATTGCACCAAATGCTTTAATTAATAGTAAAAAAAAAATCATATGAGGATTTAGGAGCAATTGCCCTGAGGTGGACAATTATTTCTTACAGTTATTGACCACTAATTCTCTAATACCAACATTAAATATGATTGATCATTGGTTATCTAATATTAACATATATCAGCCTTTAGATCAGTGGTTCTCAACCTTCCTAATGCCATGACCCTTTAATACAGTTCCTCATGTTGTGGTAACCCCCAACCATAAAATTATTTTCGTTGCTACTTCATAACTGTAATTTTGCTACTGTTATGAATCGTAATGTAAATATCTGATATGCTATATGTGTTTTCCGATGGTCGCGACCCACAGGTTGGGAACTGCTGCTTTAGATCCTAAGTAATTGAGACATAATGTTTTTGGGGTTAAATTGGATGCTCTTCATACTCTTTTCTAGCTCTTCCATTTTATTAGTCTCTGAAGCATTTTAAATAATAATATTTGTTTATATACCCCCTTTCTTTTCTATCCAAATTCTCCCCTCTGGCAGTTTCATCACAACTAATAATTCATATTAATTACTTTTTAAAAACTTGCTTGCTACAGCCTCTATTTTTATACGTCTTTTGCTTGCCTGGAGTGCCCTCCCTCTACCTTTCAGTCTGACCATGACCGTCCATTCTTCATACTTTGCTCTTATCTCACCACCTCCCCAAAGTACATTGGAAGTCTACTAGTCTGCATTGAGCTTTATTTTGTATCTCTAACTTCATCTGGCAGCTTATCTTTTATTATGTGCTTTTATATCCTTTAGGTTAGAAACATTAGATTAGAAACAATGATAAGTCAAGGACCTTGTCCAAGATTCCTATTGCGTCTCTTAATGTTCATCTTGTTCTAGGTTCTGCCAGCAGTGATGATTTTTGGCATCTTGTTGATGTTACTTGAAAAATAGTTCATATGTGTATACTTGTCAAGTGCTTAAAAGCAATGAGACATCAGTCCTAAGTAATTTCTTGCCTAGCGCCTTTAGCCACTTAGTTGGTTTGCATTAGAATGTGTTTTTGTAGGAAAGTGTTGTGTGCTTCTAGGAAAGGGATCCTTGTTCTCATTTAGCCTGGGCAGCCTACCACATGACAGGATTATGAAGCTTTGAGAAGCAGCTTATCCCCACACTCCATCAAATAGGCCTGTTAGAAAGAAAAGTGTTTGCCATGGTTTGACAGTCTTTCTGAATCCTGGCCTAGAATAGGTGAAGTCATGGCTTTATATGTCTGTCTATTCCAGTAAATCTATTAGTTCCTAGAAGAAAATATCTTATACCCTTTTTAAAAAATTCATCCATCTACCCCAGCGGTGGGCAAACTTTTTGACTCGAGGGCCACAATGGGTTCTTAAACTGGACCGGAGGGCCGGAACAAAAGCATGGATGGAGTGTTTGTGTGAACTAATATAAATTCAAAGTAAACATCATTACATAAAAGGGTACGGTCTTTTTTTTTTTTTTTTTTTTAAGTTTTATTCATTTCAAACGGGCCGAATCCGGCCCGCGGGCCGTAGTTTGCCCACGGCTGATCTACCCTCTCCTCCTCACACATTTTTTTCCTGTCAGTACTCTTCCCCTCTACTCCAAATATACACACTCTCCCAGTTCTCCCAGCTATTTCTTTAGTAGGGACATGGATTAGAGTTTATATAATTTAAGAACTGGAAGGAGCCTAAAGATCCTCTTGTTCTTACATCTTACATTAGAGATGAAGAAACTGGAGCTTAGGAGTTTTAGTGACTTTTTCTAAATTTCACTGTCAGCAGAGCTGGAACCAGCATCTGAGTGACCTGACATTTGGTTCGTGTTTTGTGAGTTAGGGACATGTTTGGTGACTTTCTGAACAGCCACACTTCTCAAAGTGAGAAATATCTAAGTGAGGCCTGGAGAATGAAAGGGTCTCTGAGTTCCAGAAATGACTTTTCCAAGAGGAAATAGGGCCCTAAATCATCAGGGAGAGACCACTGGACATCCAATGACTGGATAGACTCCATGCATCTAGAATAGAGGTGAAGCTCAGCAAAAATCTAAAATATTATTTTAGTAATAGTATATATTTTGGATGCTTCTTGGTTTGCTAGTTGTATGAAATTATCACACAATTTTCTAATTCAGCATATCTTAGAATTGATGTTTTGCCATTTCATTCTTTTTTTAAGCTGGTAGCTTTTGAAGTAGAGCGAATTAAAGTTGAAGAAAATAACCCACTGAAGATGATAAAGCATGTCAGAGAACTTGCTGAGCAACTGTTCAAAAATGTAAGTAAGTATATTTATTTAGACAGTCATTAATTTTAAAAGTGCTAATTAAGTATTTTGTTTGAGAAACTGAAAAGCTTCATCTTTCCAGTGATACTATTCTTGTTCTAACTTCAGACCTTTGGGACGATAAGTTAATAAGATATTACGGTTGCTACTGTGCATCAAAATAGATCTTTTTTTAAAAATGATTTTCCTGTCAATTATTGCATTATAAAAACTTCTTAGTTACAATTTTCCATTTGTCATTTGCCCTCATTGTGATTTTCATTTAGGTTTCTATCTTCATAAGAGTAAATTTGGGCAATTTAAGACATAAATAATATACCCACTGGAGACCAAAACTACCTCAGACACAACTGCCCCATGTCCTCTGCTTTAGCTTAATAGTGAGGGTCCACTGGATCAGGAAAATGATTTGAGTTGAATTGTTTTGAACAGACAGGGCGTGAAATGCTAAAAGACAGCAGATTGTCCAGTCACCAACTATAAAAACTCAAGGGTGAAAATATTCTCCATATAACAGAAGTGCAATAAGTGTAAAAGATTGATATTTGACATTGGTAACGTGTGAAATAATAATTTGGATACCAAGAAAGAAGATAACCTAACATGACAGGTGGTTATGTGCATGTGGAAAAATGGCTAATTATTACAACTCCTTCCTCTGCTTATAAAGCTTTTACAGAATCAAATCCTTTTACTAAAAAAAAGGAAAGTAAGGGGAAAGTTGAGGGAAGTATTTTTCCATCTTTCTTTTTTTTCCCAGAGAGGAAGGGAGAGGGAGAGAGATAGAAACATCAATGATGAGAGAGAATCGTTGATCAGCTGCCTCCTGCACACCCCACACTGGGGATCAAGCCCCCAACTCGGGACCCTTCAGTCCACAGGCCGACACTCTATCCACTGAGCCAAACTAGCTAAGGTGGAAATATTTTTCAGGAGAATAGGTAAGAAGGACGTGGGACCCATATCCTGGTATTGTTTAACTTAATTATTTGCATAGGTTCACCTTTTTGGATGTTGGATCATTATTAGTCACATCCCTTCAAAATCTGAGAACCAAATTGTGTTTCTTTATTCAATTATTTATAAATTTTATTTCTGAAGTTACTTTAAAATGTATCCTTTGGGTGGATACCCTACATTCCACATATAACTGTCCAATACTGTAATAAATCTATTTCTTGATTAGTATACTAGAACTTGGGGAAAATTCTGTCAGAAGGAAAACTTGTGTTCTGTGCTGGTCTTTGCCATTTATGATGGCTGTGTACAACTAATGTATAGCATGAACACATGAGACAGTTCTATTGGCTTATTGTAATAATAAATAGTGTTTAAAGCAACATGCCAAGAATGGGATTAAGCACATAGTATATCATCTCTAACCCTCATATCAGTTATGTAAGATATAGGTGTCATTACCCCCATTTACTGGGAATAATTGGCTCAGGATTGTAAATGGCTATTAAGTAATTGAATCCAGATTTTAAATTCAGGAATTATTATCTATCCAATTCCTAAGTTGATGTTCGTTCACTCCATTAGGCTGGCTCATCTTCAACTGGAAAAAATGTGGTATTTCCAATGGCTGATTTTATAGTTTGTTCTTTATAAAGCACTTTAACGTACTTTCTCATACGATCTTGGAAGTTACCCTGTATCCTGTGAGATAAATAGTGATATTGATGTTGATAAGTGAGGAAACTGAATATTAGAAAGCTTTTTTCCTTGCCCACTTGGAGTGATTTATTGATATATTTCAAAAAGTAAAAAAACATTAACTGGGAGTCAGTGTTTAATACTCTGGGACTGATTCCTTTAATACTGAATGTTTATTTCTTAGATCGTTGCAAACCTATTCCAGAACTGCAACATTTTATAGCCAGTAAGTGACCAGAGCTGGGGGTCTGACACACGTTTGTCCTGTTACAAGACTGAGTACACAATGCACGTTAGGGAATATACCAAGCCACATTAGTGCAGAAATGAAATAAATTTTTTCTTGCCATTCTAGACCTTAAATTTTGTGATACATAGCTAACACTAAGCCAACACAAAAAAGAAAACTGCAGTAAAAGATCTACTACTTATATATTCTTAAAGGTGAATGCAAAGCATGAACAACCCCTGTCCTTTAACACTGTTAAAGAGGTCATCACCAGGGACTGTGTGGAATCGCCCTTCAAATGAACTCTACATTTCTTGAGCACTTATTGGGCTTCTTTCCTCCCACAATCCAATTCTATTTCATTTCATTTCATTAATTCCATTCATTCAGTATGTATTTATTCAGCACCTACTATTGCCAGCATTTTCTAGGTACATGATTCCCCTAATATCCTTGAGAGGAGGATACATGATGAGTGAGAATTTGAGAATATCCCAATAGATTGTCATCAGACTTTCTATAACTCTTTCTAGTTTTAAGAATTTAAAATCCTTGATGATCCCAACATTCCTGAAGTAAATACTTGACAAAGTTAGAAAGCAGAGCACGATAGTCATGCAGGAAGTTGAGGGGAGGGAGGAAGGATGGTTTTAATGCAAGGGAAATCATCCAGATGTTTCCATTTTTAACTAGTCAGTGTTCTTTTTTAAATCACATTTCTAGAATTCCCTCTGGTAAGCAAGAGCCAGTCATATAATTTGACTGTTTTCTTATTATTGGGTTATAATCGGGACCTGGTGGTTCCATTCTGATGTTTGTAAATACTTTATTGCACTGAGGTTTGATATGTGTATCTAGCGTCTCTCCTTTACTTCCCTTTGAAATACCTCAAAAATGGACCTTAATTTTTCAGTTTCTTCTTGCCACTCCTTTATATTGCTTCTTAGTGAGTAGGAATGAATTGTAGGAATGTGAGCAAATGTGAGTAGGGTGAGTTGTAACTGGGTTTAGCTGCTATTTGACTTTCTGGAGCTCCCTAAATAATTAAAAAATGTATTTGGTGACTGGTGGAGGGGGGGGGAATGGGAAAGTGGAATGAAGGGGAAGAAAAGGAATAACTCCATTACAGACAAATTGGGTAAGCATTAATAAGGTTTATACCATGAAGATTACTGGCTATACATTTTTACAGCTTTTCTTTCCTTGCCCAGTTGACAATACTGGGTCCACCCACCTTGGCTTTCAGAATCGTCAATGTCTGAATGACAGCACATCTAGTTACTTACCGCTCTATCCCTATGATTCTTGATATACACTCATAAAGGACCACTAACTGCACACAAAATGAGAATTTTAAAATAGGCCAGGACAAGAACTTTATAAAACCTCCATTTCACGGCATCGAGTAATTAGTTGAATAGTGTTTTACTGTTTTATATAGTGCAGTTTTTTTTAACTTGTTTTGCATCTGCAGTAGTACATAAATATTAGCTAGATGGTATAATTTGTCTGACAGTTTTCTTAAAAGTAAAGGGGTAAATGAGAGCACTTGGACTTCCTTATAAAATAATAGGAGATTTTTATTTGTCCTTTACCAGTATTTCATTGCCCAAAATGGAAACAAATAGGTTTTTAAATCCTAACAGGAGAACAAATCCCAACTATAGGAATAGCCATTGTAAATCATGTAAGATCTACACCCTTCATATTTCTGCAGAAAGTTAATTTTCACTAGCAGGCAAATTTAGTCTACATGGATGCTATCTGTACTCTCTGCTAATTGTGCATAAAGGGATTTTTTTGTTGTTGCTATAGGAATGAAGTAAAACCTTGTGATCATCTTATTCTTAAAGAATCAAAACATAAACAACTTGTTTAGATTATTATGAGAAAATGAGGGTCCCAACCCAAAGCATAAAAATCATACTCTTTCCCCCATCCTGTCTGGTTTGTTTGTGCATTTTTAAGTCAGCTTTACAATGATAAATTCTCATCATAGTAAAATTTGACCTTTTTAAATGTACTGTTCTATGGGTTTTGACAAATGAGTGAAGTATACAACCACCACCACCACCACAGTGAGAACATAGACTATTTATTTTACTCCCAAAATTTCCCTAATGTGCCCTTATAGTCATGTTCTCCCACCACCCCAAACTCTTGGCAACTGATATGTTTTCTCTCTGTGTACTTTTTCCTCTTCCATAATGTCATTATGTAGTTTTTTGAGTTTGATTTCTTTCCCTTAGCATAATGCATTTTAGATTCACCCATGTCACTACTTAAATCTGTTGTTAATTCCTTTTTATT